GCGGGTGAGCTTGTAGGAAGGTGAACTATGCAGAACAAATGCAGATTGGGATCTGCACTACCTATTCACTGCTGCAGAAACACTTGAAGCTTTGATAGTAGTAATTTTATTGGGAGTATCTCTTGTCTCCATCCATAAAGCCAGGCACGGCTGCTACTCTGACTCAAGTTGCATCAGGCTCAGAGAAAGAGAAAAAAGTAGCCTCTGAACATAACCTGAGATAGCTTCTCCCATGCACTGCGGTGGTTCGGGTGTGAGGTCCTGGTGCATAGCTCTCATTTAAGTTGTCTCACTTATCTGTTTCCAAGATGTATAACGATGAAGAGCTAAGTCTGGACCGTTTTAAGGCATTAGCCAGTGTAACTTCAAAGATAAGTATTTTGATGAGATGAACCTTTCTGCTAATGGCTTTCTCTTTTTTTCTTAAACATATATTTATGTGAAGCTACTCAAAGGTTTTGGGTGTGGAGAAAAGCCAGAGTAAGATGTGAGGGAACTGGGGGAGATGATAGATGTGCTGTGCAGCACAGCCACGTGCCTTGCCAAACAGCTATTGCTGCTGTGTGTGCTGGGTGTCTAGATGTGCAAAGCTAGCTGGGCAGAGTTCTCATTTTGCTCTGGATAAAACTGGGATGCCCTACATTTAACCCATGCCTAGGATCTAGCTCTTCTGTTAACTCCAAGTTAAGGTATTTATTTTTTTAGAAAAGCTTTACTGAAACTTATGCTCTTCCTGCTGTTTTGTAATATCTTTGTAGGACTTCTCTGTACCTTTCCTTCTGGCAGGTTTGTGAGTTCCTTGCCCTACATATAAAATAGCTGTGTACCGTTCGGTCCGGTTCAGTCCCAGCTAATCACCGATGGTAAGTTCACTTGCATCTCTGTAACGAGTTCTGGCACTTGAGTTTGAAGTGAGTCACTGGAGGGGCCCTTGGAAGTGCCATCTTGTCAAATCTGTTGTAGCCTGGTTTGTGTAGATTGGAGCAAAGCTTGGGCTCGGAGCTGAAAAATAATAAATCCCTGTGCTGTCTTCAGGGATATAGTGAGAGGTTGGCCCACCAAACCAACCCCTGACAGGAAACTGCTGATCTTCCTCTTAGATGATAATTTTCATTCTACTCTCCAAAAATGCAAGAAGATAAATGGTTCATGCTGTGATCACGGGAGACTTTTAAGACCAAAATAGAAAGTGAACTCAAAACCCTCACAAAGAAAATGTTTGTCTCTAATTGTTTTCTGTTTCCATAATGCTTAGTATGATAAACCTATCTTCTTTCTCCTTTATTTTTCAATCATGATTAGGCTTTAACAACATTAAAGTCTATAAGTGAGTTTGAGCTACTGTCTCGTTGAAGAGAAGATGGAGCTGAAATTGTCAGTGAGGCATTGGACAGGGTTTTTTAATGTGTCTGTCATTATATGTTAACCTCTGAACTGGGACACGACGTCTGTTTTATGGCTGACAACAATTTAAAGGTATACATCTTGACATCGTGGATAAAGGAAGAAGGGGGAGCAGAGGGAAAAAAATGAATTAATGATGTTAGCAAATATTAGTCCCTGTATTTCCATTTTGTTCAGAAAGTGGTTGTCAGGCTTTGAGGCCATCTGGAGCAGCATTGTCAGTGACAGCCAGTCGAGATGCGATTGTACTTTGAATCGAGCCGGTCTTTTATTGACAAATACGGTGCACCGAGGCAGGGATGAGGATGCTGTGCTGTCTGTTCCGGGAGAAGTGTGGCTTTTCTCTTGGCGTTCCTGGTGACATTTGAGAAGGATAGTTCTGGGCTTAGTGGAGTTCCCTGCACCAGTCTGCCAGCGCAGTGGGAGTTGGGGGAGTCAAAAACATCTCCTAATGAGTACGTATGCTGCATACTGAAGCACGTATTTGCCCGTGATTTATGCCAGCTTTGGTCAAACGGATCCACCTACCAAAGTTAGCTGTCAAGAGTAATAGTGACTTTGGTATGAGCCTTAATTGTACACAAGCAACAAAGAATCGATGGGCAAGAGTTAGGGGCAAACACAAGAAATTCTAATGCGTCTTAAGGCGTCACTTACATGTCTTTATCATCTCTTCCCAAATCTCTTGCTTGCCACTGCTTATGCTTTGGCACTCGAGTGCAATCCTTCAGGGTTTCTTCCCGTGCTGCCACAAATTCCCCTTTATTCCCACAGGTTTTAACTGGCAGTTTGAGGGCAAATCCCTGGTGCTCATGGAGCCCACAGTAATTTTTGCCTTTTCTACAGCATCTCTCTTAGACGATCCTGACTGCGGATAATACTGCTGTCATCTCTCTTGGATTCAGGTTGCAAATTATGGGAGCCTGGGATCATGGTATTTCTTAACTATCATTAGTTACGTGTGTATCTGTAGTGCTTTTGGACAGCACTGCCAGCAGTGAAAGAAATTGAGCTGGCTTATTTGAGAGCCACATAGTTAATTATTAGTGCCTTTTTTAAAGGAGGAGAGAGGGAATGTGCAGTGTCAGTTTTTAATTTCATTGTGGTTTGCAAGCTATTGTGACTTTAAACTCACTGGTCGTTATCTGCATATATGTAGCATTTCCTTTATGTTTCCATCCCTAAAAACCCTTTTCTGCTCTAGAAATTTCAAGGGATTTGAGAAGGAAGGTACATCTGCATGTTACTCATCAGCTCGTGTGAGTGACAAATAAAAACACTGGTTCCTGTTAGACCAATAGCTGTGACGTGGTTTGGAAGGAGCAACTGCTTTGTCCCACCTCTTTCATTGCCCAGTTTGGTACGTCATGCTCAGATACTGCATGCAAGTCCCTGACAGGCTGGATAGTATGGAGATCAGAAGCGGGCGGATGAGATTATGGTATAGGCAAGTTGTCAAGGGCGGCTGGAAAGAAACCAGTTTGTAGCTGCATTGAGACAGAGTTAACGTTTTTTGAAGAAGCGTTCCTTGTAGCCTGGACAGATTCCCCTTGGGAAGTCCAGTGGTGATGAATGGTAGAGCCACGATGCTGTCTTCCATGGCTTTCCAGAATAGAGGCACACATTAAATCCCCGGAGGATAGCCAAGACTTTTCCTGTACATCTTTCATAAGCTTGTTCTACTGTGATGGAGTAAGCTTGGTTCAACATTCATGAATTGAATATGGAGTTACCTATTTCTGTGTGAAAGAGATGAGAGAAAAGCTGCTTGGACGAAGTAACCTGTGTATGGATTAAGAGCCAGAGAAGTTTTTGCCTGAGCGTTTTTGGGAAAGCCTTTATCGCTAAGTTTCCCAGTGCCCTTATATGTACTCAATCAACATGATTAATCTTTGGTAGAAATGCATTGGTTGTGCAAAGGAGGTGAACTTAATCCAAGAAACCTTTTTTACAATTTCTGTCTCTAGAAAGATGAAATGTATTTTCTGAAGTGTTGTTTCTGACTTTGAAAAAAATAGCAACAACCAAAAACTGTAATGGGACGAGATGAAAGAATATAGATTAAAAATTTCTTGTAGTTTCTGAAACTGGTTGAATGACCACTGTCCCTCAATATCAAAGAAGACAGGCTAGTTGTGATTGTGAATATAGCTTCATTTTATAGAAATAACTCTTGCATGTACTAGCAGATGATCTGAAATTAATTTTCTCTGTAAGTGGTGTGGAAATAATTGATGGACAGTAAGGATCTCTGCTAAATAATTTTTTTAAGAGGGGCATGGCACTGTAAAGACTTTGAAGCCCTTTCCCTTCAGGAAAGGAGAACTTTGTGTCATCCTTCGCTCTAAATTAGAGAAAGTCTACTTGCTGTAGAATAGTTTTCAAAGCCAATTTCCTTTCCATTTTTTCTTATAAGGAAGTATGTCTGTGATATCTGCAAACCCAAATATTACAGCTTTGGGCTGGTACAGGAGAGCTGACAGGTGGAACTGGCTCAAACTGTGCAGAATGTAAAAGCAAATATATTAAGGGAAAACAGTAAATTGATTTAAAACAAAAGCAGCTTAAGGAGCAGGAAGAAAAACAAATGTGAACATGTTTTATTTAAAAAAAAAATCAACATCTTTCTAGGTAGAATTCTGATGAGGCAGCAATGCTTTTTGGTGTAATCAGCAATGTATTGCAGCTACTGAGAAACTACGTAAGGTTGGGATGGCTTTCCCTTTGCTTCTGGTTTTATTCTCCCTGGATTTGACAATCTCTCCTCACGGAAATCCGCAGAACTGTCCACTGACATGTTGCATGTTGCAATTAATGGGCTGTTTTGATAAGAAATTACTGCTGCAAATTGCAAACCAGTTTTTGACTGCCTACCTGAAGACCGAGATACCAGATGCTGTAGAAGAGTGAAGGTTTCTGGTGCTCTGCACCCCCTAATAGGGTCAGGCTTTCAGACAGCAGGCACTTAGCCCTTGCTGAAAGCCTGGCATCGATGTGAAGTCAGCCAATTGAAGAACCTTAGCTGCAAGATGGTTTGGTGGTTTTTTCTTTCGAAAAGGTAGACCTGAGGCTCCGTATCGATCAATCATTATTCTAATTGTTCATTTCTATTATGGTGGGAATCATTCAGAATCCTAGAGTTCCTGGGAGTAAATCATTTGGAAATGCTGCCCATTATAAAATTTAATTTTAAATCTATATTAAATAGATTTATAAAGGCAAGCTTTGCAATCTAGTAACATAACATTATGCTACCTCACAGAGGCTGGGCTTTTGGGTCCTAAGGGGCCGAGGCTGGGAATGCTGCGGAGGCAACGCGTTGGCTTGTGAGTGGGACAGTGAGGTTGCCAAGTCCACCTTTCAGGTCACCCTTCTGGGACACCTTCAGAAGAGCGTTGATTCCGTTTGAGAGATCCATCCAGCTGTTCTGGATGGAGCAGAGTCGTGGTGTACTGTCTACTGTGAAGATGATGAGGCTTCCAGAGGTCTGATCCCATCTCTGGAGCAGGGGAAGGGGTGGGAGATGGCAGAGGGGTGGCACAGGCTGGAACAGGATGGGAGCCAGGATGCTGGACCAATCTTTCTTTTTCTTTCAGACGACAGAGAAGAGGGGAAGGGAAAGCAAAACTGCGTTTGGAGGCCCAGTTGTCAGCTCATTGTATCAAGAAGAAACAATCAGGTGATTATCTGTACTGAACTTTGGTTAAAAACAGTATTTTTCTAATGTCATTTTGTGAAGCTTTTTTTTTTAATACTGCACAAGTGTGGTGGCAACTACAACAGGATAATAAATGACAGGAAAGAACTTTTCAGGTCCATAATCATTTAAATCAATAACTGCCTGTATCATTGCCAGGTAGTAACCTTTCCCTAGCACAAGATGTGGGGGAAGGGCAAGGCTTCCCATTTTTCAGTTATATGGCTAAAAGGAGGAAATATTGGATATTTTTAACAGAAAGCTGTTCAGACACTACCTTTTTCAAATAGTTATTTCTTTACCAATACATTCATTAAGGATTGTTCAGTGAAGGTTTTAATGTTGGACAATGTTTGCCTTCAGGGAGAGTTTGTACCTTATATCAAATTAATTTTTTCTAGCTTCTGCAGCTAGCATAGCAGAAGCACATTTACTGGACTAGAATGGCTGCTATTTAAAAACTGTCAAGGTGCAAGTATTAAGTGACATTAGCTACTGAATAAGGGCAGCTGAGTTTTTTTGTTTGGTTGTTTTTTTACTGTTCCAGACTACTAATCATGGGTATAATATTAACTCCAATACCTAAATGATTGCCTGGAGGATCTTTCAGAATTCAGCATCGTATTTTTATTTAAAATGAACAGTCAGGGAAGACTAAATTTTCTGAGCAGTGTTTTTGCTGTCGTGATGCAGTCACCCGTTTATGTGTTTGTGATCCCATTTGTTTTATTGAATGTCTTGCATCATTTTAGTCCCAGGAAATTAAAAGATAAACACTGATTTCTCTACACGCAGCCTCCCAAGCTTGCTGAGAACTTTCCCGAAGTGTTAAAACTCTAACACAGCATTTCTTTGACTTCTTGTCATAAACTAATGAAAAGTAAATCTCGAGCAGGTGGCTCCAAACGCTCTGCAAGGAGCTCAGGTGAAAATTGATATGACTGTTTTGTGTAAGCAAATAGGGTGACGGTTTTGTGCTCGGCAGTGGTGTGGGCACTTCCCTCGCTGTTGCAATCAGCTTTATAGTGAGCTGGCAGAGTTGGCCAGGAGTAGCCTCTTCCACCTCGCATGGAGAGCCAACACACGTTTAACTTGACCCTGGCCTTTGGAACAGAGATGGTCAGGTATGACCTTGTTTCAACACACTGTTTGAGGAATAGCCACAGGCTCCTTTTTCTTCCCTGCTCTCAGTGTATATCTCAGCCAACATCCTTGATCTCATAGTTTGACCTTGTGGTTTAAATCCTGTTCGAGCTGTTCTTTCAGGAGTGGAACATACCAGTGCTGCCCAGTCTTTGATGCTAAGTATGAGCTATGCTTAGTCCTACAGTGCTTTTGGAGTCTTGACTATCCAAGTGTTGCCTGTGCCCCTTCTTGGATATGAAACACAGCACAATATACAGGAAAACAGTTTGCTCCGGTTGATTTGACTAGTTTAAATCTTCTTACCATATTTTCATTTTTATTTTCATGAAGACATGACATGTACAGGACTTGAAGATAAGTATAGCTGAATATGTTCCTCATGACATGTTTGGAAAAAACTTACGCGCTGCATAGCATAGCTATAGTCCTTACACAATGGGGCTGTAGGCAGATGTAGTCTCTGGCACAGCTGGAATAGGGTAATTCTGCTGAAAGTGAGTTAAATGAAGTCTCCTGACTCTGACAGAACAGAAACTCATATGGTCCAATAGCACAGCTTGGCCTCGTGGTTGTCAGTGTCTTCAGTTGCAAGATGGGACTTTAGCAAGTGTCACATCTCACCTAGCTTCAGCTTTCTCAGTGCAATTGCCCATATATTATGGCTTTTGTCTGCTGTTGGTTCTCTCACTACAACAGGGAATAAATGTCTGCAAGTATAGGCACATCTCTAGTGGTGATAATTGTAACACTAAAAGCATAGCCCTAAACAGTAAAGTTGCACTGTGTTGTGGTTTAACAACTAAATGCCACATAGCTGCTCGCTCACCCTCCTCTACCCCAGGGGAATGGGGAAGAGAATTAAAGGAGAAAAGGGAAGGACACTCATGGGTTGATATAAGAACAATTTATTAATAATGATGAAATTAAAATTAATAATTATACACTAATTTATGAATATATAATGATAGTAATATATACACACAAGTGATGCACAGTGTAGTTGCTCACCACGTGGTGACCAACACCTGTCACATCCTGGCAAGAGATTCTGAAACAGATAAGTCCTGACACCACAATCCTGGATGAGGGAGAGGCCTGAAAAGAGACTGAAAGAGCCCTCAAAAGAATTCCAACTTCCTGGTCAATCTCCATCTATATACTGGGCAGACATTCCATGATATGGAATACTCCATTGGCCAATTTGGCCCTCAATCCTAAGTCTAAATTCAAATTGTAAGAGGAGTTGTGGGCCCTTTGCTCCACCACGCTCCCCCCACAGCCTGTTGTGTTCCTGCACACTGGCAGAACTGAAGCTGAAAGGTCCTTGAGATCTCAGCACCAACTATAACCATCAGTGCACTATCAACATTCTTCTCATGACAAATCTCATACTAAATCCAAAACACAGCTGTTCTAGCTGCTAGAAAGAAAACCTAACTCTGTCCCAGCCAAACCCAGGACACATTGTTACAAAATCTGCAAGCAGATGAGCCCAAGAAGGATGAAAGCTTTTCATAGCTTGAGTGAGAATAAACTTAACCATATTGGTAGCTACTAGTAAGTCCCATGCTGAATGTTCAGTGTGTATGTATGTGCTATCTGGAAACCTAAGATCTGAGAAGAGAAACTTTGATGCAGGCTATTTTATTGACTCAGTTGTCTATGGCAGGCCCTACTAAAGCTTTACAATGTGCTTGCAAAAATTGCAATATAAATCGAACCACTTTAGTCTATGTTTCCTGGGGCTGTTGATGAGATAAATATTTTCAAGTTACAGGATCATATTAAGGTAGCCCAGAATAAATAAACAACAACAAAAAAATCTTGTGTACTAACAACTAAAACTCAAGTCCTCATCAGCCCTGGGTTCGGACAGACTGCTGAAAGCAATTTCTCAGCAGGCATTACGGTGCCAAACACAGCCTACCGTATGCCCTTTAGGATTCAGCTGATGCAAAGGCAGGAAAAGGCTGTCTAATTTATCTGGATCCTGGCATCTTTGCAACCTCACCTTGCACCAGGAGATAGACAAGAATGCAAGTACAGAGTTTTGAAGGTTCACTGAAGCAGGTTCACTTGTTTTATTCTTACCAGAAGCTTTTGAACAGTTTAACAAATGATTAACCTCATCCAAGCTGCTGCTATGTAATAGGAAGATGAGAGATCTTGTTTTAAATGGTGTAAACCACTAGTTCACCGTCAGCAGCAAATTACCAAGCAAAGCAGTAATGCCATTGCTTTCAGAACCCGGTCTCTAAAATGATACGTAAATAATGCTTACAGTCCTCTTCTGGAATGAAATGCTTGGGATTTAGGGTGCAAATCTGTAAACGTTGGACAAAGCGGAGTTACCATACCCTACCCTAAAGTAAGGTGGATCAGAAATAGGAGGAACTGGGCTGGTGCCAGGGCTGATTTTGCCTTATCACTAATTATCTGAAATGTTTCTGCTTTGAGAACAAGATAGAAAAATGGTTGGCCTGGCTCACAGAAGTACATTGCAGTGATTCCAAATAAATTCAAGAGCATCCATAGAAACAGGTTATAGTGATCTAATTAAATCAATTTAGGAAGAGATTTGGTTAAATCAGTGCAATTTGTGTGTTCATAGATCAATCCTCAAATCAGGAGAAGGTCTCTTGAGCTAATGAGGCGTAGCAGTTATTTACTTTGGGGTGCTGGGCACTGGTCATCAATTAGGAGTCATTAATAAACCCTGGCAATAAAGAGCTCAAGTAGCCCCAGTGACTAATGAGGAGCAGTAGCAGAATGTATTAGGGTAGTGCTCTGCCTCTGTGTTTCTCTGCAAATCACTTATCCCACTTCGGGCATTACATAAAAATAATGCATGCTGGTGACTGATGATGGGACTTGGAGGTTCCCCTGGAAGGAAGGATTTAGAAATTATCTGTGATTTCAGGCTCGGTATAGTAGTGGGTTTGTGGGGTTTTTTTTTACTGCTGTGTAAAGCTGTATGTCTGTTTTCTGGTCTTATTACCAAAACAAAAGCAGTAGTTGATGAGCTCTTTCATGACCAAATAGCTATAATTACAGTTTTGCAAACCTGGGAAATGAGCAGTGAGATGAGGTTGACTGATGTGTCACCAATATAAATCTAAGATGCAAACTGAGGGAGGTGCCAAAAATACAATATTCAACTTTAAAGTTATTTTTAAATAGTTTTTTTAATGCAGGGGGGTGGGAGAGACAGTTTATAAGCATCTCCAGCAAACAAAAGCATTGAGTTGGCAGATGGAGGATGCGAAATAATGCCAAATGTCCGTGTCCCTTTCCACTTGCCCTGGAGGAGCCCTCCTGTGCTTTGCCGTGAGCTGCTTCCCGTAGGCTGGGTGTGCCAGGATGGGAATGGCATCCACTGGTCAGCATAGAGGCCTCCCTGAGCTAAGCTTTATGCTCCTGCCATCTCGAGAGCTGCTGAAGAATCCCTTTTCTGGTGGTAATTCCACCCTTTCCCGTAATGCTTGGGAGTCACCCTGGTCACGAGCGGAGCTCCGTTTAGGATCGGGGCATGGAGTGGGCACCCCTCGTGTTTGGGAGCCTGCCTGATGCTGTGCAATCTATCAGAATTGTATTAATCCCACTAACGCAGTCACCATCTGGTCCCGCTGCCGGGCCGGCTCGCGCGAGCCCCCGTGATGGATGGCCTCGGGAATTGATTAGTTGTTGTGCGAGACAAATGAACTGTTTTGGCAGAAAATACCAGAGGTCGCTGCGTGTGGTCAGGCACAAAGACTGCTGAATTTTAAAGAGCTGCTTCCAGTATCCATTGCAAGGATGCCGCTTTAGAACGGCGTGATGGCTTTTGAGACGAGCCC